CCATCCTCTTCCGCTCTGAAGACTTGGCTCCTTGCCAAAAACAATCCTCTACACTTATTTGTTGCCTCCAAATATCTCTTAATAAACGATTAACTATGGACATTGTTGAACCTTATAGACAACATAACGCTTCCCAAACCACTATTGTAGTTTTGAAAATTATGAATAATGAAAAGGCTAATACAATGACCACTTATAACAATATGCGTTCAACAATCCAAGAATAACAATATCAACTCTTGGAAAACACGTAGAATCTTGATATTGCTCCAATATATTGGAGACTTGGGAGTCCATTTTGCTCTGCATTTCTATAAAGCCATTGATAGCTCTTCACAAACAAAAAGATTACAAGGCATAAATAAAAGTAGTCTACTAAGGCTTAGTTAATGAGAAGAGAAAGACGGTGAAGCGATTCCTTATCTTATATAGAAACATAAAAGCATCGGTTAGTTGGCAACCATCATCCAGAAATAGAAACTTAAAAGCATTGATTGACAAATCTAGAGTGAATCATTTAGAAGCTAGAGCTCAACTCCATAAAATAAAGCATTCAAGCATGACAAAAATGAAAACTCAAATTTCCAAAGCTTATAATGTATCCTATATTAATTCGCCACAGAATAACTTCCATAGTCTTTAACCATATTCATAAATAGGGGTCTAAGTACGGGGTAATATTAGCTAAGTCAACTTTGTTTTCTCAACCAGTGAAATACGTTAGAAATAACTAAACAAACCCAAAAAGTTAAGCACATTTTAAATTTATTATTTTCAATTAGTTGTGTAGAAAGTCCTCCATGTTTTGGGTAGCCAAAAAAGACCATGCGGCGCCACAAGGTTCATCACGGAACTCAGCAGATCTACCATTTCTTCCTCTAGCTCTTTCCGCTGCATATAGGAAAAATTGAGAGATATATAGGATTAGACAATCAAAGCGTAGAAGAAAGTAAGATGGTTTTAAAAAACGTAAAAATAATGCATATATGTTTTACCGAAGGAAAAAAAAATGCGTTTAGTTTTGTCGTATAGTGCTCCTAACCATGGTTAATTGCATGCCAAGTAGTGTTCAGAACCACGTGTTTGCGTTTCTCTTTCTTTGAATTTTTTACGTAATTAACTTCACATTCTTAATTTTTCTGAAAAACAATTTTCTGTGCACTGTTTGCGGTAGCTGTTTGCACATTGGGACAAAGCAATCAGGAGTAACATGATTGTGTAGATTCCCTATAAGTAAATAAACCTCTATCATTTTCCCTCAGCATTTTTTTTCGGATCTCATATGCACGACCATGCCAATTGTTTTGTGATTAATTTATTGTAAAACCGAGTTTGGTTATGATATATCTCCTCTTGATTCTTTGATCTCAGTTTTTTTTGATGTCTCATTGGATTTCTAATCCGTTTTGGTTTCCCGGTCAATTCTTCTATAAAGATAACAAATATGTTTTCCCTTGTTGGCTTTAATGTTCATTTTTAGGTCTTTTCGCATAATCAATTGATTGATCAGGGAATTTTTCAAGAAATATTAGAATAGTAGATCTAGCAATTAGTTAGGAATTATTAAAGAACCGTTATAGAACTCAAATCACAAAACTATATTCAACAACTCTCGTCTATATTGACTATCTATGCTTAATAGCAGGAATTCCAACTATCGTCTGTAAATTCCTAAAATTAAACAAGCATTAACGATCATGTTCGATATGTTCGCAAAAGTATCTAAACCAACTCTTGTTTGAATCTAGCTATTTCTGTCCAACTAAGATTGTTCCAGTAATAAGCGCAATCTCGTGTCTAACCTATTATCCTAAGATCTAGTTCTAGTTAGTTACTCTAGAACTAGCATTGAGAATAAATAAAGATGAAGAACTCTTCAAATAATATCCTAACAGGTTATCGATCTACTAATTCATCCAAATCCCTATTGAAAATTCCCAAATCCAACAAGAAGACTACTCAGACATGATCATAAAAGGATAAAACATGTTTAAAGTAGAAATCATAAAAGAAAACATAAAGAGAATAGAGATTAGAAAGATCGTCTCTCTACAGGGTTTTGAAATCTCTGAAAAGAAAGCTACATCTCCAATTATCTTTCAAAAGATTCAAGTGCTTAGATAATACAAAGTAAGAGCGAGACAAAACTTAATAAAAGCTCGATAGGTCTAAACAATGACCCTAGAATCTATTTATATGTTCTCAAAAACGTGCAGAGACTAATATTATAAAAGAGAAGTCTTCTGGGCAATTCTGGAATCTTCAAAACTTGTAAATTCTCGAGACTTCTGTTGGGCCGCGAACAGTGTCGATCGACACTGATGACTTGGTCTGACTCCAAATTTCTCTCTTCAATCCTTATTCCTTGATTTTGCTCTAAAATGTTCTACAATCTCCAAATGCATTCCGATCACGTAAACACCTGAAAAGACTCCAGAAATAATAAAAAGAATCTAAAAACAATACATATATCATGATTAAAAACCGTAAAATCCATAATATATCAATAGTGAGAGCAGTGACCGATGTAGATGCTGCTGCTCTAGTATGGCTATTTTGTTCGAATGCTTCATGTTTTTTTCCTTCGTTTCACCACAAACTATTTTTATCTCTTATAATGTTGGGTTTATCTTCAATAGTTGCTTTTGTGGGTGTTCAATTTTTTTTATGCTTTCGAAGATCCTTCATATTTTTTACAAAGAAGAAGAACCATGAGCGCAAAACTCTCTTAATCATTCAGAGAGTTTGCTAAAGGATTGGATTTGTTTTGTTGGGGTTTTAGAGTAAAAATGGATCTTTAAAATGTGGTTTTAGAAACACAATTTTGAATTTGTAAACCGAATTTGTAATTCTTTTGTTTTTTATAAAAGAGTGTCACTTTGACATATTTTATATAAATTAAAAAAATATTAAATTATACATGTAATAAGTGGGTAATAACTTAAATTCAATAAATCATAGTTTTGGGTTAAAGGTAGATTATGAATTAGTTTTAAAAGTCACATTAAAAAAATAAAAAACTATATCCGTTGTCAACCAAAAATAAAAAATTTAAATAACATTTTTTTGTAAAACAGAGAGAATATTAATTATCATTGGATTTGTTAAATTGGAAGACTTTTTAGTGTTTGTGATGTAAAGTTAAATATATATAATTTTCAGTTATTTGTGTAGATCAAAGTCCTCCATGTTTTGGGAACTAAAAAAAGAGTGGTTTTTTTTAGTCAAAAAGAAGTTGTAGAGCCGTTCGACTGTGCTTATGAAACATAGCGACGACCATGCGGCACCACAAGGTTCATCACCGAACTCAGCAGATCAACCATTTCTTCTTCTAGCTCTTCGCACTGCTCTGATCTTTCTTTTGAAAATAATATTTCACCTTTTCTTTTTTCTTGTTGCATATAGGAAAAATTGAGAGATATATAGGATGAGACAATCAAAGCATAGAAGAAAGTAAGAGGGTTTTAGAAAACGTATAAATCATACATATTTGTTTCTAGAAATATTTACTCAGATGTTATAGAAAGATTGGAATATTACTAATATATCATACATTTTCTGAAAATTATTTATATGTTTAGCGTCCTTGTGTAATTACAATTAACACCCTTGATTAGTTTTTTTTTAATTGAGATTTTTTATTCGTTTTTAATTAAGAAATGATTAAAGAAAAATTAGTTGAATCCACGTCATTAAGAGAAAAAAAATTAAAGCCACGTCATTAACTTGATCTCTTATATAAAGAGAAAAAAAAAGAGAAAGGAACACGAAAGGTTACATAACTTATTGTTTCGCGGCAAATTTGCATGTCACGGCTGAGTAAATTTACATAAATACGGGTGAGTTATAATGTAAATTTACAAGGAGGGTGATGGATACACCAATCCCCAAGGAGAGCTCAAAGAACTCATCACATCTTTGTTCTTCCACCCTCTTCCGTTTTGACGACTTGGCTCCTTGCCAAAAACAATCCTTTACACTTGTTTGTTGCCTCCAAGTATCTCTTTCCTTTTCTTTTCTGTTTGCCCAATATCTCTTTCCTTTGTAATAGCCAAACAAGCCTCCCACAAATTATATTCTATCATTGGCTCCTTGTTATCCTATCCACTTGTTTGTTGCCTCCAATATCTCTTTCCTTTCTAATAATTGATCATTCGCTTATACTTAAATACTAATAACGACATGGTTAAACGTTTCTTCATTTTCTTGTTTTTTTCTTCAAAATTTAGATAATACATTAAAACTAATTTAAGTACTTGATATAAAAAAATATTGTAAAAATGGAGCGTATAAGGTTCAAATCCGGTTTTCATAAACAAATAAATAAAATAGAAAAACAATATGTGGATCACCACTTAGAATATTAAATATTACCAAAAAAATTTTAACATATATTTTTTATATTCGGATATTTATGCGGGTACTATTATTATATAAAGCTTGGTTTCAAAATTAGTCAATTAACATGATCGTGATATGTGTAAATTAATTGATTAGATTGTGACAAGTGTCAAAAAATTTAATTTTTAAACAAATTTGAACTAACAAAAAAACATATTTACAGATTTTAATTTTTCTTGTATATTTCTAAATACATTTGAGCTAGCTTTACTTTTCTAATCTGATTTTTCTTTTAAATAACAATATTAAAATATACTAATTTATGTGTATATTTTGAGAGTTCAGTAGTTAGGATCCTTTTATGCAATGTAGATAAAGATTTACTTTGTCTCCTACTGCAAGAACCAACCATTATCATTTTAACATCCAAAACCTAACAGATCGGCCCAGAGAGTTACTGATCACATCCTGACAATCGTAAAAGATCCAACCAAAATGATCTAGTCGTGACGACGGCTTTTTCCTCCATGTTTTGAGTGGCTAGAAAGGAGTCACAAAGCTATTTGCATGCGCTTATGAAACATAGCGACCACCAAGTGAAGGCCATCACCACCGGCGCCACCAAGTTCATCACCGAGTTCTTCCTTCAACCCAACTCAACTCATTACCCAATAAAGTTAGAATTAAATGAGTTCATAGGTTGACTCAACCCATTTAGCCAAATGAGTTGAGTCAACCCATAAACTCATTTTATTTGATGGGTTGATCCAATAATGTAATAAATAAATTAATAATTAAAATAAAATAATAATAATAATAATCATCATCATCATCATCACTATTATTTGGCAGAAAATTACGGACTTTTGTTTTCGGCGGAAAAATTACAGATTTACATTTTTTGACGGGAAAATTGCACATTCTCGTAACTCCAAGCTGGGTTATATTCGTAAGTCAGCCGTTTTCTCATAACTCAGCCATTTTCCTTAAATATGATAGTAATAAAAAAAAATATGTATGTTTAGTTTTGTCCTATAATGCTCCAAACCATGCATGGTTGATTGCATGCAAAAGTAGTGTTCAGAACCACGAGTTTGTGTTTCTCTTTGTTTGAAATTTTTTTATTCAAACATCGATATTTTTCTTTATTACAATTGGGAGAAACAATCCAATTAATTCTACGTAATTAATTTCACATGCTTAATTTTTCTAAAAAACAATTTTCTATGCACGGTTTGCGGATCTCATGTGCACGACCATGCCAATTGTTTTTTAATTAATTTCTTGTTAAATCCGTCAATAAATGTTACAGCTTCAACACTTGCACGATTTGAATTATGTGTACTTAAAGCGTGAGCACAACTGCACAAGGTACATATGAGAAAGCTTTAGAAAAAAATACATCAAACATAAAAGAAGAGAAACAGAATAATGGAAGCAGCAAGAATGGGTTTCGGTGCTAAAACTCTCTCTCACCTTGGCAACGGTACTTGTCTTCCTCTTAAGACCAAACTCTTGCGCTTTCCTTTGCATTTGCTTCACAACAACATTACACTTTCTCTTTCTCGGGTATCGACAAAACACAACTTATGTGTTAAGGCAACTAGTGAGAGTAGTGGTGATGTTGGGAGTAGTCGTCCCTTGCCTCATGTTGCTCCCACTCTTTGGGGAGATCACATCCTCTCTGTCCCCACCGAAAACTCGGTAAGTACCTGATCTGATGAATGTGTTTCATAATCAGTCTTTTTTTTTTCAGAACAAGATTCTTGAGCACTAATATTTTGTAGGAATTTGACGTACTAGCGACAGAGATTGAATCAATTATAAAGCCGAAAGTGAGAAACATGCTAATGTCCTCTCACAACACTGATAAAGAGAGAATAGTTCTCATCCACTTGCTTATCTGTCTTGGTACTTCCCATTACTTTGAGAAGGAAATTGAAGAGATCCTAGACCAGGCTTTTCAGAAGTTGGACATGTTAATTACAGACAAAGATGATTTGGAAACAACTGCCATCATGTTTGAGGTTTTCAGATTATATGGACACAAAATTTCTTGTGGTAAGAGTTATCAGTATCCTTGATTGTCATATTTGATACATGCATATTTGGCTATATACATATATAACATATCTCGGTGTCAATTTAGATGTGTTCGATAAATTCAAAGGTGTTGATGCGAAGTTCAAGGAACATCTAGTCAGGGATGTTAGAGGAATGCTACAATTGTACGAAGCAGCGCATCTCGCAACACCCTCCGAAAATATAATGGACGAAGCCCTGAGTTTCACAAGGTATCACTTGGAAGTTTTGGCCGGCCAAGAAGTGACCGCTCCTCATATCTCAAGACATGTACTAAACGCATTGTACAAACCTCGGTTTCATAAGATAGAAATAGCAGCTGCGAGGGAATATATTTCTTTCTATGAAAAAGAAGGTCATGATGAGACGTTGCTCAAGTTTGCGAAGCTCAACTTCAACTTCTGCCAGCTCCATTACATTAGAGAGCTAAAATCTCTCACCAAGTACGTTGACTTACTTATATTTTGTTTCATATATATTTAAAACTCATGAGTTTCCGATTCAAAACTTTAGATAGACTTGTATTTCTCATATGTTACTTTAGATCTCATCTCAATAATAACCGCAAGTGCACATGCAAACACACTAGTACTTAGGATTCGAATTCACAGATACCAAAGAAATACACAAAAAACTATTAAAGAGTTAAAACTAGCTAGAACAACATAGAGTTACAAGATCTCAGAGAAAATTTGCAAAAATAAAATAATAAATTAAATAACTATAAAATTAAATATGATAATATAAAAAATAGAGTTTCAAAGAAATTATCAGAGAATATATGAAAGACATGTAAGTTTGGTTATGATTCTTAAAGTTCATGAAATCAGACTTCTATTGTGAATAACTCTAATGGTGTTTTAGTGATAATTTCTTGAAAAAACTACAGAAGGAAATTTGTCTATCTAATAATAGATCCATCAATTCAACACCACTTTTGGTGGCTCGAGGAATTAGATCATGGGAAATAGGAGAATTAGCCTAATTCATCTAAGACTTTAAGAATAATCAAAGACAGGGAACTAGTAGATATCATAGCAAGAGTACATACACATAGGTCTCTTTGGGGATTCCAACCGATCGATCAAATTGCAAGTCGATCGGTGGAGTGCAATACCGATCAGTAAAAATCCATGATGAGACAACTCACACATGACCTAAGTACATGTGATAATTGCAGAAGAAGAATCAAGATTTTAGAAAAGATCTATTGGTTTAGTATACCGGTTCTAATTGTTCCGGTTCAATACTGTAAATAGTTTACGGTTTACTTGTATATAAGTAGCATGTAAAGTTACTTTTGATTCTTAATGAGAAAATCTTTTCAACAAATTCTCTCAGATAATTCTTCGTAATATGGTATCAGAGCTATCCAAATCTCAGATCTAAATCTCAGATCTGACATTTTCGCCATCATCGAACTCGATCTGAGCTCTTGTATCGATCGTTTTCTGCTCAAGGATGGTGTTTAAGAAGACTGTGGTTCGCCGATCGTTGCGATCGAAGACTACATCGGATTCTCCTTCGAATCCAGCTGGAAAAAGGACTAGATCGACCGTCGTTGCTGTTTCTCCTCCGAATACTCCTCCGGTAGATGTTTCTCAGTCTTCTGGAGCTTCGCGAGCTGAAGCGATGTCGGCTCCTTCCGATCCAAGTCACTCTCCGTTCTATATGCACAACGCCGATCATCCAGGTTTGTCGATCGTTTCTCTTCGCTTAGATGGTACAAACTATGATGATTGGAGTGCTGCGATGATGATTTCCTTAGATGCTAAGAATAAGATTGGATTTATCGACGGTACTCTGCTTCGTCCTCTTGAATCTGATCCTCTCTTTCGTCTTTGGTCACGCTGCAATAGTATGGTAAAGTCATGGCTGTTAAATTCTGTTTCCCCTCAAATTTATCGTAGCATTTTACGTCTGAATGATGCTGCTGATATCTGGAAAGATTTATATGGTCGTTTTCATCTCACAAATCTTCCCCGGACTTTCAATCTCACCCAGGAGATTCAAGATCTACGTCAAGGATCTATGTCTCTCTCTGATTACTATACAAAGTTGAAAACTCTGTGGGATAATCTTGATAGTACAGATGAGCCTGATGCTCCTTGTACTTGTGGTAAAGCTTCTCGTCTGCAACTGAAGGCAGAGAGAGCTAAAATTGTTAAATTCCTTGCAGGCCTCAATGAGTCTTACTCTATCATCCGTAGACAGATTATCATGAAGAAGGTTCTTCCTAGTCTTGCAGAGGTGTACAATATCCTTGACCAAGATGACAGTCAGAGAGGTTTCTCCAATGTTACTACTCCTCCTGCTGCATTTCAAGTGTCTGAAAGTACTCCTCCCTCTGCTCTGGGTGAACCAACTGTCTGCTATGTTACTTCTGGCCCCAACAAAGGACGTCCCATATGTTCTTACTGTAACAGGGTTGGTCATATAGCGGAGCGATGCTACAAGAAACATGGTTTCCCTCCTGGATTCACTCCCAAAGGCAAGTTTCCAGATAAATCTCAGAAACCACAACCTGTAGCTGCTCAAGTTGCTTTGTCACCTCTCCCTGAATCTCAACCAACTAACTTGGATAGCTTAGTTGGTCATCTTTCCAAAGATCAGTTGCAACAGTTTATTGCTTTGATGAGCTCTCAACTTCAGAATCAGTCAGTCACAAATGAAGCTAGTTCTTCTCAGTCTGACATTGCTCCCTCTGGTATCTCCTTTTCTTCCTCCACTTACTGTTTTGTTGGCATACTTACAGTATCTAGACATACTCTCTCCAATGAATCTTGGATCATTGATTCTGGTGCAACACATCATGTGTGCCATGATAAATCAATGTTTGATTCTCTGGATACATCTATTGTCAGTGCTGTGAATTTACCTACAGGACCAACTATCAGAATCAGTGGTGTGGGGACTCTTCAGATAAATAAGGAAATTTATTTGAAGAATGTTCTATTCATTCCGGAGTTCAGATTGAATTTAATCAGTATTAGCTCTCTTACTGATACTCTTGGTTCCCGCATAATTTTTGATCCCCATTCTTGTACCATTCAGGATCCTACCAAGGAATTAATAATTGGCAGAGGTAGGAGAGTTGCAAACCTGTATGTGTTGGACACTGAAGCTCCTTTGGATTCATCAGTCTCTGTGAATGCAGTGGTGGATGTTGGTGTTTGGCACAACAGACTTGGACATGCTTCTTACTCTCGTTTGGATACAATCTCTACAACTTTGGGGACTACTAGACACAAGAATAAAGGAGTAGCTTATTGCCATATCTGTCATTTGGCTAAACAGAAGAAGTTATCTTTTACATCTCAGAACAATATTTGTAAAGATATCTTTGAGTTGCTACATATTGATGTCTGGGGACCATTTTCAGTGGATACAGTTGAAGGTTATAGATATTTTTTGACAATTGTGGATGATCATTCTCGTGCTACCTGGATTTATCTTCTCAAAACTAAAAATGAAGTGATTTCAGTTTTCCCTGCTTTTGTTGCAATGGTTGAGAATCAGTTTAATTTGCGGGTTAAGGCAGTAAGATCAGACAACGCTCCTGAATTGAAATTTACAAAGTTTTATCAAGAAAAGGGCATTGTTTCTTATCATTCCTGTCCCCGGAACAGAACTCAGTCGTCGAGCGCAAACACCAACATATATTGAATGTGGCAAGGGCTCTGTTGTTTCAGTCTCAAGTT